TCGGGGACTCTGAGCCGCGCGCGCGGAATGCTGGGAGTTGAAGTCTAGGTCCCAGGGCACCCTACCGGCTCCACCTGCGCGGTCACGGGCGTTAGTTTGTCCCAGGCAGCATTTACTAGTTAGGATTACGCAAACATGGGAGTTCTGATAATAAATTTAAATGCAAGTTCCGCCGATAAACCAAATGAAATTTATACAGCCTGCTGCGACCTGCTTTTATTTATTGGTTCAATTTTTATTAGTATGTATTTGTAGTACGTAACGATCATCGTGGGGAGTTAGTACATGTACATAACACATCTTAATTCTTTTTACTTCTCCTTTCACTCTCCTCTTTCCCCTCTCTCCACCTCTTGGTCCCTTTCTATTTTTTTTTTTTTTAAAGCCAGAGTTTTGCTATGTAGTTCAGGCTGGCCTTGAACTCACTTTGTAGCCCAGACTGCCCTTGAAATCCTCAGCCTCCCAAACGCTAGGATTACAGGCGTGACCCCCCTTTCCACTTGTAGAAGCTCTATCTCCCTGTTTCCTTTTATCTGTCTTTTATTTTGCTCTTTAACTTACTTACACTTTGGGTTTCTCATATAAGAGAGTCATACAATATTTAAGCTTACGTATTTGATTTATTTCACTTAACATTACAGTCTCACAGTGCATTATCTCTTTTCCTACAAATGACTGAAATTTATCCTTTATGGCAAAGTAGTACTCCATTGTGTGTAAATACCACATTTTTCTTTGTCCATTCACCTGTTGGTGGATATAAACGGTTTATCTTCAAGATTTAGCTATTATGAACTGTGCTCTGTAAACATGGGTGTGCTTGTAGGCGATCTGCTTTTAAAACATACAGTGCTAGAGGGGTTTAAGTGAAGATGCCCAGCCCTCTGCTGCTCTGCCCCCCATCCTAGCACGTCCAGATGTCTGACCATTCGCAGTTCTTAGGACATTGCAACTGGAATTTACCGCAGAGCCTCAGAACACACATTTGCCTCCATTTCTTGATCCATGGATTTTAGATCACTTGATGTTTTGCTAAGATACATGAGGATTTAAGTCATTTAGAGGTGCGCCAACCAGGTCTCCCCTCATCCCAGAGAGTTAGGGGATAACATTTCTGCCTCTCACTCGAAAAAGGCCATCATTAACTTATAGTTATGTAAAATTGGTTGTCCAAGCATTGAGGCAATAAATTTATGCGGGGCAGTTTGCCAATAGTTGAAAATCTTTAAATATTTGGAGTTAAAAGCCTGTAACCAAAAATTTCTAGTGACTGGATGAGCACAAAGGCATACTGGTTTTTTTCATAGTGATAAAAAATTAGAAGGTTAATTTCAGGTAAAGTTGAATCATTAGCTGGAAAAAATTACCAGGAATAAAAATGTGACCATGATAAAAAGTCAGTTCTTCAAGAAGACAGAGTAACCCTGTGTGTGGGTTTATCCAATAACAGACACTCAAAATAAACCAGTCAAACACTGATAGGGTTAGGGAACACTAGATGGAGACCACTACGAAACAGCCCAGAGCAGGACTTAAATTAATCAGGTGGCTTTTTACAATTACTTATGAATCTGTCCAAAGCCCAGGCTGCTTGTCTGGAAGTGGGTCATGGACTCATAGTAAGTGAACCTCTGTGAGTCACTAATCCTTACCAAAACCTGTAATGGTTGATGAAGCCAGGAAGCCTCAAAGGATAAGACAAGAGCACAGCCAAGGACACCTGGATGGAGTCTCAACTAGATAAAGACTGTAGCCTCAGGCATCTCACTCCTGGGTGGATTAACTTAATACCTTCCTTGGAGAAGTCCTTGAGTGGTTGCACACTTCTTGAGTACTCCCCTTCCTTCTTCTGATAACTAAATAAATATAAGCCACCCAGAGAAGATCTGGTGTTAGCCCTGAGAAAATCTCAAATTCTATGAGAGGGCTCTGATCCACCTGGAGCCCTGAAATCATTCCATTTGCCTCTTTTATTTGGCTTTCACCATACACTCATTAGGGAGATAGCAGATCTGATCAGCCCCCAATAACTAAGGGATATTATTTACCTGATTCGCACTAACAGAATAGCAGACTTGTAGGCAAAAGTTAGAGATAACTCATAGCCTGTGACTATGCTCATGCTCCCTGTCACA